TTTGATATAAAAAAATAAGGGCAAAATGTTTTTGGACTAAATTGAATTTATTCAAAGTCTTCAAAAATAATTCAAAGTCCAAATAAAAGTTAAAAATATATTTTTAAACGTTTTTCAAATTTAGTCGAAACTTTTCAAAACTTACTCGATCGTTTTCGCGCTTTAAATTCATGTTTCCAAGATTCTCTGGCTCAAAGGATCGATCCCTTAGCAAAAGGATCGATCCCTTGGACAACAGTGAGTTTGGGATCGATCCCTCGAGAAAAAGGATCGATCCCTTCCCAAAAAAGAGCAATCCCTTTGGTATAATGGTCGAAATATTTGAAAAATGATCGATCCCTTTGCTAAAATGATCGATCCCTTGTGCCTTAAAAGTTGTAGGTAAAAGCTATTTTGATCCCAACGGCTAGTAACGGTCAAAAACACATCCCAACATATAAAATTAAGTTAAAGACACTTGAAGAAGGTTACTAACACTTATCCAAGCATTCAAGCACAAGATAAAAGTTTTTCAATCCTAATTTTCTTTCTCTTGTAAATTTTTATGTTTTGAGCTCAATTGTATATCTTTGGGTTTTGTTTTTGTGAGCTAAATCTTTGTAAACACCAACGTAGAGAGGCCTTCCTGTTTACACGTTTCTTATCCTTTGTAAAGGGACTTTGGTTCTAGTTTAGCCAAGTGAAAAACTAGGGAGTTGTAAAGGTTACTCTTGATCCTTGAAAAAGAAAGAACAAATTATTGGATTTGTTGGAAAATCCTAACTTTTAAGTGTTCATTGAACCTTTTCCAGCAGTCCCATCATTGATTATCACTAATAGGGATGAGCATTCGATCGAGTCGATTCGAGTTGATGAATCACGTTTTATGACTTAAACTTTATTTGAATAATTTTTAATCGAGTTAAGTCAGGTTGGGTTATTCAAGTTTCTAAAACATATTTAATTGTAATAATTTATAATATGATGGTACTAATTTATCGACTTTTTCTAACCATATAAGATATATATATATATATATATGTTTTTCACGTTGAAATATTATTTAATAAATCAAATATAATCTAAAATTATTTTTCAAAGAAGATATTTTGAAAGTAAAGTATTGATGGAAGTATAAATAAGTCAAAGAATTGATTGAAAGAAATAAATTGCAACAAAAAAAACTGCAGTAAACATACCAAAATGAATAAAATTCAAGGTTAAGGAACTAAATTTGAAAAAAGAGTAAATTTGTATTTTAAAAATTGTAATTGAAGTTAGGGGTGAGCGTTCTATCGAGTCGAGTCAAAAAAAATTCGAGTTATTAGAGTTGAAGAGTCCTATTTTATAACTCGAAATTGACTTGAAATTTTTTCGAGAGGAAATTTTGAGTTTCTGTTTAAATTTAATTGTAAATATTTATAATATTACGATATTATTTGATTCCAATTTAAATGGTTTTTTATAACCATATATGTATGTGTGTGTGACATACATATATCATATAGAGTCGAGAGACTCAACTCAAACTTGAAAATCAATCCACTAATTACTAAAAATTCTGAGTTATTCGAGTTGTATTTTACAACTCAATTTGAACTTGAAAATTTTCGAGTCGAATTGAGTTTATGAATTACAATTTGAAGTTAGTTTGAGTCAAGTTTTGTTCATCCCTAACTGAAGTTACAATTCGAAGGAGCATGTGATTCAAATTTGGTCAAAATAGACTTAAAATGAAAGATGAATTAAAGAAATGAAGATATCATGCAAAGTTGAGAGACTAAATTGAAAAAAAATAGATAATTTGATATCAAAAGAAGAAATTGAAGATGCATATGTATTCTGCAATGGATTAGGAGTATATGATTCAGATTTAGTAAAAAAATGTACTTAAAATGAAGGAAAATTTGAAGGAATCGGTTAAAATTTCAATTTTTCAATTAACTCAAAATTTTCAAATTTCAACTCAATTCAAACTCAATAACTCGAGTTGACTTGAATTACTGAAAATAAAAAAGATGAATTTTCTTTTCGAGTCAAGTCTAGTGGTGTTACCCCTAGGCCCTAATCACTGGGATTTGCAGAATACCATACTGAAGACGTGAAAGCAGAGACAAAACCTGCAGTATCAGATGTAAACATCTAAGAAAAACAACCCTGGTATAAAAGAAATGCAGATCAGGTGAAACAAAAAGCAAGCAAAATAAACCTTCTCAGAACATCTGAAAATGGGGCTTGAGACATTTAACCAATGCATTTTTTTTTACAAGTTATGCAACTACCGAATAAAGGTTCCACTTAGGCAGCGTCAAAAAGCTGTAATGGAACATTAATGTTTGGGCATTTCAATGACAAGCAGGCGATTTCAGACAGCCATCAAAGACTACAAGGCAAAAATTTACGCTTTGTCGGATGGTGGAAGAGTTAAATATCATACCTGAATAGTGGAAAGAATGCACCATTTATAGTCGATTCCTCAAAAATGATCTGTATCCAGAAAATTATGTTTTGTGATTAAAGGTAGCACAGACAAACAATTTCCCAACATGAAAATATATGAATGGAGAAAGTAAAAGCAACTTAATGAAGCACGTAACCCACTTGAGATCGGACTCTGTAGCTTCTGGTTTATATAGTGGAACCTTCGCCACATATAATGCACAGGGCCTGTTATAGCAGTATTTACTCGGATCAGCTTACCACCCTAAGAAAACCAAATGGCGATCGATGCCTTGCACCGGTGGAGCCCAAATCACCTGTCCTACACTCCAAATACTTCTCAATTCCTTCAACAGCATGTACCTTGCAACTGTGATATGCAGGACAGTTTAGTGAGGATTGTTCCACTGCACGAAAGCCCTTTACTGTGCCATAGCATTGATTAAAATCGAAAACTGTATATGAAAATGGAACCTGTTAAGATTGATGACAAAGAGGGCAGGCTGCCTTTTTCCTGCACAGCATTCCCCCCATTCTTCCTCCCAATCTCCTCGACCTTTCCAGCTCGTGCAGTCCTTATCTTTCGTAGCACCTCGCTTGTAACCCTGATAATTGAATGAAGGCTTGCAGGGAGATGGTCCCTCAGCAGTATAAGCATTCAGAGATTCATCAGAGTTCCAAGAGATTCCCTCAAACCTATACCATTAAGAAAGATTTCAACCTTGCCAAGTTTTCAGGGATAATAACTACAAGTTTACATATAACAATCCTGCAGCTGTTGCAAATGCTACTTAAACCATTTACCATCCGTCGGCATACACTGAGCCATGAGTCGACTGGGGAATCTGGAACTCCTCCAACTGAGATGAACCCCATATTTCAGATTGCATGGGGGACTCGTTTTTCGGGATTTCGAATCACAAGAAGCATTGAACCTGACGGCGAGGGAACAACTATAGACATTCCTGTGGTCTCAACAGGAAATGGGGACCATTGGAAATTCACATTGCCTGAGAGCCTGTTCCTGCCATGGTTCCATAAACGGCATCGGGATCAGCGATAGCTTTTCGGTTTCAAATAAAAAGTGGGATATGAAAGAGAAAGAGAAAGAAGCGTTAGAGGGGTTCCTACCACTTCCAGACTTAAAAATCCAAGCTTTTTCAATGGTGGAGTGGAGATACTAGTAAACTATTGAAGTAATTGACTGGGAAGCATGTTCTTCTTCAGTATCTTCATCTGATCCAACTGGCAGATCCTTCACTGGACTGGCTTTAGAAGAATCCAAGGCCAAAACAGCCGGAAGACTTTTTCTATATGTAGGATGGAAAGGAAAATCATTAAGATCCAACAAAAAACTACACGGAAGTGCTGAAAATTGACAATGCTTCACACGTAAAATCCAAAAAAAAAAAATGTTATTTGATACAACCCATCATACAGAAAACACCCATTTTATTTCACTCCACCATCTTATCCAAAAACATAAACTTGGAATTCATCAATCAGATATTAGAAAGCTAAGAATACAACATAATATCCAAAAATAAAGCAATAACTATAACTTATTATGTTGAGTGTGGGATTTGAACCCACGCCCTTTCGGACCAGAACCTTAATCTGGCCCCCTAGACCAACTCGGCCATCTCAACTCCTGTTTGACGTGTGTAAACCATACCTAAATTCTAGTTTTTCCATTAGTGGCTTCAAATGAGGTGAGATTTTGGGTAAAAAAATTGAGTTAACGTGTAGACGAATCTTATTTTATAACTCAAAATTTATTTAAATTTTTTTTTACTTAATTTTTTTGAATTTATATTTAAATTTAATTGTAAATATTCATAATGTTATGATATTAATTGATTTTAATTTAAATAATTTTTTATAACCATATACAATATACATACTTCTTCTGTGCCATTAAATCTGTCAACTGTTGACTTTTTTAGCCAAACGTTTTAACTTTGACTCATTATTATTTAATATTTATTATTGATAAAAATATGAAAAATATATATATATATTTTTAAAACCTTAAATCAAGTAGTTTTCAAATATATATTTCATAAAATTTTATCTCAAAGTTTAAAATTTTCACTTTTCAAAATTCAATAATGGACATATTTAATAGGACAGAATGAGTATATCATACAGAATTGAGGGACTCAAACTTGAACTTGAAAATCAATCCATTAATTATAAAAAAAAATTAAGTCCTGAGTTATTCATGTCTTATTAATCTAAACTGTATAATTTTTTTTTTGAATCGAATTAAATTATTTTACGTTAAGTGAAAAAATTAATTTTTTTCCTTAGTCCACCCTAATTTCAATAAAGGTGATGATAAATTAATAATGAGTAATTAATTTTGAAATAAATGTATGTAATTTTTCAAATAATAATTATAAATGTGAATTTTAGAGAAAAGGGTTTTCTCTGATTTTTATTTCACTTGAATATAAAAGAAGAATTCTTCCTAAGCAAAGTAAATTTCATTTAAAAAACTAATTTAGATATTAGAATCTGATCCTTTAGGTAAATAACACTAAGAATTTAAATTACTAACTAACAAATATACATGCATCTATAATCTACAATAAGTACTTCTTAAAATTAATAGATCCAAATCAAATATTACAAACTCATGTTTCAACAACAAATCATTACATTATTGAATGCATTGTAAGGGACAATAAATTCTTGATTGCTATACTATTAGCCAACAATCTGGGACTTCAGTTTCAGACAATCCAGAACATATTCCATGCTACACAACAAGAACTTACCAGTTCATTTCACTTGCAATACTTCTTGAACCAAACACCGATGTTCAGATAGCTTTCGAAGTCGGATTGCGGCCTGCAGTATACGAGTATATGTGTATATGTGTGTGTGTGTATATATATATATATATATAGATATCAAGGGTATGGCATCGTCTTTAAATTAAGCAAAACCAGAAGTTTCTTCATCGGTGTAGGTGATTACCTCTCGATTCCATGGATGTCATTGGGAAACAGGATAACCTTGGTCTCAACTCCTCTCTCCTTTAATGCTCGGGCATACTACGAATTTCAAACAGAAACTATCGTATGTTATCAGAACTTGGATCATGTGAACTCCAGATCAGAAAAAAGACGTGTTCGTGTACAAGTTTCCAAGTAATGTAATTAAAGATGCATCACATAATCATCATAGTTCATGCTATAGAAAGGAAACTTATCGTACTTGCAATCCATTGGAGACCGGGACTCGAAGATCCTGAGCACCTAAGAGAAACATGGTTGGAGTTTTGACCTGCGAAGAGAAAATAAATGACTTTACCTCATCTGTTTGTTTTTTTGATAGGAATAGGAAGCCTCATTAAAAACCTCCCTCATAGTTGACCCTTTCCTAACATAAAGGATCAAGTAGTGGAGGGAGGAAAAGAGTGCCTCATTTTATTACCAAACCGGAATTACATAAGACTTAACAATACAACAGATGATTTTACATTAGACTTAACAACTTTAGCTACTTCAAAAACCTACAGCCATAGAAAAATAAACTATAACTAAAACATACAATCAACCGATCCCCTGCTTTGCTAAACTATATGCCTCCCCATTACAAGACCTTGAAATTAACCTAATTAAAACCACCTTTTCAGAAAGGATCAACAAAATTTCTTTAACAAGAAGCAACATGAAAACTGGTGCCATAGACGGGGTGTGAATCCACTCCACTGCTGACTTACAATCACTCTCAACAACCAATCTACTGGCAGCAGACCAACTTGAAGCTAGAAAAATTTCGATGCCTCTTTTAATACCCTTTAACTCTGCAACTGGTGGGGGACCTTGACCAATATTCTCTGAAAAAGTCAAAAGAGTGCAGCAATTCCAGTCCCTTAAAATGCCTCCAATACCTCCAATCGAGTCATTTAACCTCACAGCTCCATCAACATTTATCTTTAAGAAATCAACAGGTGGAGGAAGCCAACCAATAACAGAATGATCCTTAGGTTTAGGAACAGAAATACCATCAGCAAGTGATGGATCCCCAATTAGCAGATCTTCCTGAATAGGGAATTTAGGATACTTGGCTAGGAACCATTTAGATAACCTAAATCTCACAAGGAAAAAGAGAGACAGCCTATCAAGGTTTAAACCTTCAAACACAATCGCATTCCTTGCTTTCCAAATAGACCAAAAAACGACTCTCGGGATAAACTTCCAAATCAATGAATTCAACCTCAAACTCCCCCCACGAATTAAGTAAGGAAGGAGGGTCCTGTGGTAGCACAATAGACAAGTCCCAGAAGCTTGCCAGTTTATTCCATAGTTCCCAAACTACAAAACACGAAATGAACAAGTGTTGCACAGATTCCTCATGTTCCTTGCAGAAAGGACAGAGAATATCTTCTTCTAAGGACATTCCTCTTTTCACTAACTCCATTTTAACTGGAACTTTTTGGTGAGCTAACTGCCATAGGAAAGCTTCTACACGAGGCGGAGACAAACCCAACCACACCCCTTTTGACCACAAATCAATACCCCCAACTTCCTTATCAACAGCTTTCCTTCACGATTTTACTGAGAATAACCCATCACCACTTGCAGACCAAGAGAGAAAATCTTCAATCGAATCAGTGAGTTTTATTTCCTTTAATTTCATCATCAAATCCAACCATTGTTCCAATTCCCAATCAGACAAATTCCTCCTAGTAATAATGTTCCACTGCCAACCATTCAACTCAAAGCTTCCAAAATCAGCAACCTTACCCCATTTGTTAGTAGAGAGTGCAAAAATTCTAGGGAAAAGAATTTTTAAAGGAACCTCATCCACCCATGGATCATCCAAAAAGATATGGACTTACCATTGCCTACTTGCAACTTCGAAAATGATCTAAGACACTCACCCGCCGAATCATTCTTCAAAAAATTATTAGCAATACTTCTCAAATTCCAAGAAGATTTTGGAGAAATGACCTTGCTAATAGACATAGTATTACTACTAATATTTTGCTTACTACATAACACTCTTTTCCATATGGATTCCTTTTCATTTGCGAACTTCCACACCCATTTCCCCAATAATGCCCGATTAGAAAGATTCAAGTCAAGAACCCCAAGGCCACCACTGTTCATTGGTTTGCATACTGTACCCCAACTAACCCAGTGGATCTTCTTTTTATCCGCACTGTCACCCCATAAAAATCTGGCCATTAAGGAATTTAATTTATTCCCAACTTTGCAAGGCATTTTAAAGAAAGATAGGAAAAATATTGGCAGGGAAGTCAACACTGACTTTAATAGAACTGTCTTGCCAGCCAAGGACAGAGAAGAAGCTTTCCACCCAGCTAGTTTTGAATTAAAATTTTTAAGGACAGGATCCCATAAAGCTTCAGAATTCTTCTTAGCACCGATTGGAAGACCCAAATAATCTGTGGGAAAACGATCAACAGAACAGCCCACTACCAATGCCCAGTCTGATAAAATAACCTCATCAACATTTACACCAAAAAGTTTACTCTTCTTTAAGTTTAGATGCAACCCCTCCATTATACTAAAAATCCTCAACACCCTTTTGACATTTTTAATCTGAGCAAGTGAAGCTTGGCAAAAAATGATGAGATCGTCGGCAAATTGAAGATGAGATAACCGAAGTGAATCTGTAGAATTCCCAATCACAAAACCTTGGAAAAGTCCTTTGTCAACTGTTTTATCTAGCATCAAATGCAGCAACTCACCTACAATATTGAATAGGAGCGGAGAGAGACTACAACCTTGTCTTAGTCCTTTAGCCATAGTAAACTCTTCCGATGGGGAACCGTTCACCAGAACCGAAATTGAAGCAGAAGAGAGACACTGTGAGATCCACGAGCACCATCTAATACCAAAGCCCATCTCCTTCATTGCTTTGTTCAAAATCGGCCATTCAACAGAATCGTATGCTCTGCGAAAGTCAACTTTGAAAACAACCCCTTGTAGACCTTGTTTTCTCCAATAATCGGTCCTTTCATTTGCAACAAATGCACAGTCCAACAATTGTCTCCCTGGTATAAACACAAACTGGAAAGGGCTGATAATGTCACCAACACAGCTGCTAAGTCTCTTGGATAGAACTTTTGATAGGATCTTATACAAACTTCCTACAAGGCTAATTGGTCGATAGTCTTCAACACTTTCCGGATTTAAAATTTTCGGAATTAGGGTAATAAAGGTGTGATTTACTCCATGCTCCCACATCCTTCCGAAATAAAAATCGTTAAAAAATTCCAATACTTGCTCCTTTAAATCTGGCCAGCATTTCTTGAAGAAACCCATTGTGAAACCATCCGGACCAGGAGATTTAGAACTGTCCGAGGATGCTATAGCTTGCCAAACTTCCTGTTCTGAAAACTTCTCCTTTATTTTTGTAGACTGTTCTCTTGACAGTTTAGAGAAATCTAGAAATAAGTTCTCCACTTCCATTGTAGAAATGGAATTAAAAGCTGTCTTAAAAAAATCAGAAATGTGGGTCTTGATCAGAGACGGGTCTGAAACTACAGTCCCATTAATCTTTAGACTAGTAATTGCATTTCTCCTGTTTCTGTTTAGAGCACACAAGTGGAAAAATCTAGTATTTCTGTCCCCTCCTTTAATCCATCTCGTTCTTGCTCTTTGAAACCAAACACTTTCTTCAATCCTGTACAATCTCCAGAGATTCGATCTAAACTGCTTCACCTGGTCCCTCTCCTGCGGAGAAAGATTAATACCTTGTGCCTTCAATTCTAACTCATTAATTCGCCCTTCTAAAGTTTCAATAGAGTCTGAAATCCCATTAAATTTCCTCCTTGACCAGTTTCTGATTGACTTTTTAGTTCCCTGTAAAATACTGAAGATACCCCTTCTATTATTCCTTTCCATTAAGTCAACCATTGAAGATTTAACCAATTCCTCGAAGCCTTCTTCCTCTAATAAATAATTGTAAAATCTAAATGGTTTAGGACCCCAGTCTACATACGAATCCTCCAATGACACCGAATTATGATCTGATATGGACCTAGGCAGTAGCCTTTGAACTACGTTCGGAAAACGGGTCAAAAAATTACCAGAAATTAAGAACCTGTCGAGTCTAACCCAAGTTGATTCTTCCCTGTTGTTACACCAAGTAAAAGTTCTTCCCACCAACAGAAAATCAATTAAATTTGTTTGCTGCAGAAAATTCCTAAAGATATCAACAGAATGCCAGTTTTGAGACCTTCCCATCTTCTCAGCCGGATCAAGATACGTATTAAAGTCCCCCCAATACAAAGTAGATTCGATTGGGCTGAAACAAACTCCAATAATTCCCTGTAGAATTCATCCTTTTCAGATTCAGTGGAGGGACCATAAATATTCATAATCACACACTCTTCAACAACATTCTTAAACTTCCCAAATATTGCAATAATCCTGCTACTTAAGTAACTACTGGACACTTTAAATTCATTATCATTCCACATTACCAGCAAACCCCCTGCAGACCCAACAGCTGGTGAAAAAATACATCCCTCGAGAAGACAACCCCCTATCCTTCTCCTTAGAGCCATAGAACAGTTTTCTAGCTCTGTTTCTTGAATAAGTAGAATGCTCGGCTTATTCTTCCTGACCAACTTAGCTACAGCTCTTGTTTTTTCCTTCTTCCCCAACCCCCTTATGTTCCACGAAACAATATTAATGTTACTCATAAATATAACAAATATCTCAAACACCTCAAATCAAAAAAGCACAATAACAAATCCCCTTATTTCAACAATTCCTACTAACCCCCAATCCTTCCTCAAGATCAATAATTTTATCTAAAAATGCCTTCTTGCCTTCTTTAAATGAGATCCCCAGCATCGTACTAACCTCCCACGTAGCCACTGCTTCTTCCAAAAACATCGAAAATGAGGGAGAAGAAACTGTGTGTAAACTAGCCACATCCAAAGCTTCCCTAGTGAAAATCCTTCTCTGTCGCCTACTCTCTTTCCCTATAACTGCTCGAGACTGACAATCTGATCGAGGCACTTCTATACTCCCTGAATGTTGGTCCAAGTCTCCTACTACAATTTTAGAGGGACCTCCTTCCTCATCGTCGCTAATTATTCCATCTTCCTCTAAAATTGGGATCGGTTGGGTGGTCAATAAAGGATTGGAAGCTTTTCTATTTTGGTCCAGTACCTCAGCTGGTCGCAACAACTTTTCTTCTATCTTCGGATCATACCAGAATTTCTATCTTTTGATCTTCTATATACTCTATTACAAGTTCCTCTATTCCATCTTCCCACCGGAACACTCGTCAAAGCCAAACTTCTGGACAAATGAACCAACGGACTCCAGCTCCTCTGACCATTAGAAAACGTTCCCTTACGTAATTCCATTGGTTGAGTTCCAACAGTTTTAACTGAAACATCTTCCTTTTCCTCCTCCACTCCTTTTGCATTCCTAACCTCGTTGTCCAAGACCACTACGTCCTTTATCGATTCATCATTGGACTTGATCCATTCCCTGTTTAATTGGGGAATAAATCTGCCTTTGGACCCTTCGGCGATCCATTTCAGATTATACGCAGGCCCTGGAGGACACAGAATCTTCATGCTTGATTCAGAAATCAAACTGTTACAATCTTGGACTTGAGAGTCTAGGCCCAATTCTTCCCTGAAACCAAGTCCCGCATGCTCCCCAACAGGATATTTTCCTTTTCCCCGCAAATCTGACAACCCGACATCTAAAATATCCATATTTGACTTTTTTGGTAAAAGCTGCTCCCCATCCCCCTTTTGCAACCTACTCCTCTGTTCCTGATCATGCCAGTTGTCTTTCTTCAGCATAGAGTCTTCAGAAGACTTAAAATTTTCAACTTGTTCCAAAGTCAGACGGCGGCCGCACTCTTCCTCGGGAAAATGATTTTCACTGTACCCGTAATTTGAATTTTCACCATCAATCCCCCTGGAAAACTCCTCCGATTTTAAAAATACCGATCCCAGTATGGCTTTGACCTTGTATGATCTGCCGTAAGACCCTATTGTGACCATTTCAGGGACATCAAACGGACTGGCGACCCTGATCAAAACTCTTGCCGACGATAAATCTGACCTGTTCTTTGAAGAATCCAAGATGCCAATGAACTTTCCCCATTTCTGAACAAGTTTCTCCAAGAACTCTACATTCCAGCATAATAACGGTAATCCCATTAATTCCACGAGACAAAACGCCAATGGAACTCCCTCCTCGTTTAGCAATGGCTCCAGCCAATCAAACCAAAAACAGATCTCCTCCTGTTTTCTTGCCCATATATCAGAGTAGTCTTTAATCGATTTAAAGGTTACAACACAGGCATTCCATGCGTAGCCCCATCTCGCTATTTTTACCTGAATTCCTTCACTTGCCAAAGCTTTTTGAACAAATTCTTGCTCGAAGGAATGCTTGATTACCCCTGTTAAAGACCTTTTCACCCAAGTCGAATCCTCCGAGGAGATATGCATCTCCCAGACATTCCTTATCCCATTAGCAGCCTTCCTTAACCTTTGACCATCCTCTTTATTGACATTTCCGCAATCCTCTCTATTGGTCGTTTCCACCACCTCCTTGTATGATCTACTATCCCTCAGGTTTCTCGAAGATCCAGCGTGCTTCTCACCATTTGTTTTCTCCACCCTTATTGGGATTGGCCCATCCCTCGTAGACCTGCCTTCAGTAACTTCTCTATTCCTGTTGTTCTGATATTTTTCTAACCCGACTGAAACTCTTTTCCCGTCGATCCAAGTTCCGTTAACACACTGAATAGCCCTCCTCCTCCCTTCCTCACTTGCAAACTGAACAAACGCGAAAGTGTAGTTCTTGTATTTCGGTTTCAGAGTAAAATTTGGAATGAAAATCCTCACAACTTGATCGTAATGCTGAAATATTTCCCTTAATTCACCTCTTGTAACCCTCTTGCTAAGATTATCAACGAAAATCGTCCATTTCTCCCCCACAGCAAACTGACCATTCGCTCCTTCTCTCTCTAAATTTTTGACTCTCTCACTCATATTTTAACAACTTTTGCGTTAAAGTTGTGTCTCTATACCTCATCTGTTTGTTCAAATGACAACCCTTTTTTTATCCAACAAATGACGACCCTTTCGAGGGGAAAGGAATGCAAGTTATAGAACACCGTGCATGTTATACTAGCAGCTCACATAAATACTCTCCCTTTCATTTTCCCACGATTATATGTATCGATTTTGCCTCAATGCTAGGCCTGCACCAGAGCCGAAGCACGGTGCACAAAGCTAATCAGTTCAATTGGCATCAAGGTTATTGGCATCATACCAAAAAATTAGTCTTTCATTTAATGTACCTTCGAGATATGCGATATAGGAGACTTGTTGTAAAAGTGAGTCAAGTGTTCAGCTGAAGGTGCTTCGGTAAAGATAGTTTTTCCATTGGTTCCGTAAGATTCCACGTAACACCAATCAGGGATATCTGTTATGCCAACCATGGATGAAAGACTACAAACTGGATTCCTTGCGGCAGCTGCAACAAACTTATTCGGTGCCTGTAAAAATTAAGCAATATGTTTCACAACTGCTTGATCACAGACAGATAACGGTAATATCAAAAACCTGAAGATTTTCCCCAACCTGACCGATCAAGTGTGTGGTTAGAAAGCCACCATGGGAACCACCAAGAACAGTTATTTTAGACGGGTCGACGAGTCCTTTCTCTATGACATGATCTATGGCTGTAAGTACATCATTGACATCCTGTCCATGTTACAATACAATGATTCAAAGAGTTACACCTGAGATAATATGTTAATAACACGGACACATGCATGTCAAGAATAAGTACCTGGGTCCCGATTTTCCCAGGAAGAGATTGCAATGCTTCCTCGCCAAATCCCAATGAACCTCTGAAATAATTTAGCAATGTTGGGTTTAGATAAAGGTTATGCCAGCCATTCGACGCTGATATATCATTAAAGCTAATATAGAAGAAAATTCGAGTGTGATTCCTATCTCAAGTTAAACTTTCCGAAGAAGTAAAGATATTACCTATAATTTATAATTAATAGGCTGAAACCAATAGAAGAAAGAAATGCTAATGACTTTGAGAAGCTCGACAGGGAGACGGAATGAGGCCCCCCATGAAGGACCACTATTAGAGGTTCAGGTACATCCTTTACTTTGGAAGAAACAAATATTGCCTCAAAAGGCTTAGCAGCTCCTGAATGAATTGGACAAATTCCATCATCAAAACATTATTTCTTTTTCATAATTTCAGTACCTCCAACTGTAATTATTGGCCAACCGAACATAAAAATCAAAAGCACCGAGCCAAACTGATTTGTGTACCTTTTGTAGAGCTATCAGAAACATCTTTCACCAGAATTTGCAGAATACCAAACTGAAGATGAGACAGGAGAGACATAACCTGTAGCATCAGATGTAAACATTTAGCAAAAAAAAAAAACTCATATAAAAGAAATGCAGATCAGACAAAACAAAAGCAAGAAAAATAAACCTTCTCTGAACATTTGAAAATGGGGCTTGAGACATTTAACCAAAGCCATCCAGCTTTATTATTCGCTTTGTCCACAAGGAAGCCATATTTGATTTGAGGAACATCAACCGGACTGCTACACACTTTGAAATGAGGAAACAACTACGAATTTCACTTCTCTTTGTTTCAAAAGCAGAAGAGAGTATTTGTTAAGAAAGAAAAAGAATTTTACCAGCAATGATATTGTCCCCATCAAGTTCAAGAATATTCCATGAAAATCCTGAGTCAGCAGGGCTGATACGTGATACTTCACCACTGTAATACGGCAATAATGTCATCAAGTAATGAAGCAAGAAAATAGAAGTCTATGAGCAAGAGAAACAGACTTAATCAACAGTCACCTTAACACATTAACAGAAAGTACCACTTGACAGCTGTGCCAATAGGATGATAAAATCATAGTGCATCCATCAGAAAGCCACGGCTTACTAAGAAAGCTTGAACAGTAAAGCCCCGGAAACTGACCATCCTCAGCACAGGTAACAACAGGAATCTGCAAAGATTTGATAGAATGAACAGATTAACCTGTCATATGTGGACCTATGCAGAGACTATAAATAAGATATGCTAGTAGTCCCAAAAAAGAATCATCACAGTGACCTAATTTTGGCTTGTTATATTCTAAAACAGAAATCAGTGGAATATGGTAAATGAGTCAACGTAGAGGAAAGAAAGCACCAACTAGAGGGAATGGAAATTGGGGGTTTTGGATGGGATTTTTCTCAACCCCCCACACCCTCAACCCCAAAAAAACCAAACAAATAATCCAAAAGACTCTCATAAACTACATGCCCTAAACCGAACTCATCTCATTCAACTTAAGCATAGACAATTGGAAGGCTTACCACATCAAAGATCTTTGTAGATGAGTTCAGCTTGCCATCAGTAGGCCAATCAATTCGGTGAAGAGAATCAGTTGCAGAGTGCGCTCCGGAATCCACTGAGGCTTTTGCAGACAGAAACACGAGGAATTTTCCATCTGGGCTGAGAGAAAAGAAACATAATTCACATATAATCAGCAAACTCCATAGATGTAGCTTGCATGTAAAGAGAGGCCCCTTTTAAACATTTAGGCAGCTGCTAGATAAAGGTTCTAATTAATTAAGCAGTTTTAAATGGATGTAATGGAACATTAATATTGGCCTAGTAGATGGCTCAAGGTATCATATGCAAAATTTAAAAAAGGGGGCAAATAGGATTAAGAAAGCCCTTACACCTTAGGCAAAAGCCCAAAAATTAAGGGTAAGAGTTAAACTTCATACCTGAATCGTGGAAAGTATGCACTACTTATGCTTTGTGTTAAGTTGACTACAGTTAATTCCTCCAATGATCTGTCCCCATAAAAATTATGTGTCGTGATTAAAGGTAGCACGGAAAAGTTCGAACAAGAAAATACGACTAAATAAACTTTGAATAACCAAAAGCAATTTAATGAAGCGAGTAACCCACTTGAGATTAGTCTCAGCAGCTTCTGATTTATAAAGTGGCACCTTCAATGCATACAAAGCGCAGGGCCTGTTATAGCAGTATTTTATACCAAGCTTTCTCGGTTCAGCTGACCACCCCACAAAAACTAAATGTTGATCGATGCCTTCCACTGGTGGAGCCCAAACCACCTGTCCTACACTCAAAGACTTCTCAATTCCTTTAACAGCATGTACCTTGCCACTGTGATATGCAGGGAAGTTTAGTGAGGGTCCTTCCACTGCACATAAGCTCTTTACTGTGCCATAGCATTGATTAAAATAGAAAACTATATATGAAAATGGAACCTGCTAAGATTGATCACGAAGAGAGCAGGCTGCCTTTTTCCTGCATAGCATTCTCCCCATTCTTCCTCCCAATCTCCTTGACCTTTCCAGCTCGTGCAGTCCTTATCTTTTGTAGCACATTGCTTGTAACCTTGATAATCAAATGAAGGCTTGCAGGGAGATGGCACCTCAGCAACATAAGCGATCAGAGATTCATCGGAGTTCCAAGAGATTCCCTCAAACCTATACCATTAAGAAAGATTTCAACCTTGCTAAGTTTGCAGGGATAATAACTACAAGTAAAGTTACATATAACAGTACTGCAGCTGCTTCAGATGCTACCACCATCAGCGAGAACTTATCGAGAAATTTTTTTTGAGACAGTACTTAAATCATTTACCATCCCTCGGCATACACCGAGCCATGAGTCGACTGGGGAACCTGGAACTCCTTCTCCAACTGAGATGAACTCCATATTTCAAATTGTGTGGGAGATTCGTTTTCAGGATTTCGAATAACAAGAAGCTTCGAACCTGATGGTGAGGGAACAGTTATAGACACTCCTGTCATCTCAACAGGAAATGGGGCCCACTGGAAGTTGACATTATTATTACTATCTGTCGAAATACTAGAGGACAGCATATACTTTCGGTTCTTGTTTGCCAGAAGATTAGGTTGGCTCATTGAAAACATTGCCTGAGACCCTATTCCTGCAATAATTTCATAAGCATATGGATCAAAGATAGCCTTTTCGTTTCAAATGAAAAGAGGATACAGAAGATAAAGATAACGAAACGTTGGCTTTCCTACCACTTTCAGACTTATAAACCCATGCTTTGTCAATGCTGGAGATACTAGTAAACTCTTTTAGTAATTTAGACTGGGAAGCATAGTCTTTTTCAGTGGTTTCATCTATCCCAATTGGCAATTCCTTCAACAGACCAGCTTTGGAAGAATCCATGGCCAAAACAGGTGGCAGATATTCTACGTGTAGGATGGATAAGAAAATCATAAGGAAACATCCTACAGAAAACTAAGCAGAAATGTTGACAATGGTAATGTGCTTTACATATTAAAGGTAAAAAAAAGAAAAATTTGTCAATTAATACAATCCTTTATACAAAAAAAAACCCATTACCTGTAAATAATAACTGGCACTGTTATAACATTAAGAAACACCCATTTTATTCGACTACACCTTCTTATCCAAAGAGAAAAAATAGAATATGGTACTAAATTTGAAATTGATCAATCAGGTTTCAAAAAGCACGTAATACAACATAATATCCAAGATAGCGTTAAGTCAGAAGAATAGATCCAATGAAGAATCGTGATCAAAAGACACAAGAGATTGAATGTGAAACATTTGAACAACGGATATGATTTCAATTCCAATTTTGAGCCATCTTATTACTTTACATTAACTAGAGACTACCACAAATGCATATTTTCTTTTATTACTTGACTACAGATAAAAATACCAAACAAATCCCAGAAACAGGCATATGGTAGCAAAACTGAAATGATTTCAATTCAAAAGGTGCTGATAAAGCTCCTCACACTGAACATGGATCAAGTTCCACCTTTTGCAATCATCTTTGCATTAAATTTGAACTACACTCTCAATAACACAGGTCTTCCAGGCTAGAAACAATAGATTTCTTAACCAAATCCAAATACCCAAAATCAATCACTTTAAGATATTTTCACTTATTATAATCATCCCATCAATCAAGAAATGAAAAATCCAACTTGTTTTTATCGAACAGAGTCAGTAACAGATGATTACTCAAAACTAAAAATTTAAACTTGATTTTTGAATCCAACCGATATCAAACAGGTACAAAGGAGACTGAAAAAAAAATACCCATCAAGCAGTTTACCTCAAAACAAGAACAAAACCATCTCTTTAGGGGGGAAATGAAAAGGGTAGAGAAAGCGAGAGCTTACATGTATGAGAAATGGGAGTTGAGCTTAAAAGTGAGGGCGACGTTGAGAAGAGAAAAACAAAAGAGGGAATCGAGGAGAAGCTGCTAAAATTGAAAAGGATGCAACTGCAATTGCTAATGTTCTATTCATTTCAAGATTCCCAGGTTTTTTTTAATTATTCTACCTGTAACTATTATGGTTTTACCATTTTTAAATAAAAGCAAATGGATGACTGACTTTTCACATTTAAATAATATCTTAAAACCTTATTTCTCAACTTGACATTTATTTTTATTAAATTATTAAAAAAATATTTTTTATTAAAAAAAGAGCATTATTAAATGAAAACTCCCATTTATTATTTTATTAAAAAACAACCCCAAGCAAAAAGTACCTCCAAACTTTTCACGCAAGATGATTTTATGTTATGTGAAAAAGGTTAGATCTAATATTTTACGAAAAGTAAATTTTATATATTTATTATGTATTTTATTTAAAAATTAAATAAAATTATCTGAAAATTTGATGAATATTATATTTTACAAAACGCAGGGTCTAACCTCATTTTTTATAAAACATAGGATCATTCTAGTGTGTAGTTTAAAATGTATTTTTTAACAAATCTGGTGTGGAGGGTACTTTTCCAAAAAAATAATTATTGCGTTATTATTTTAATAACGCTAATAAATTGTGCCATGTAATTAGATGAGTATTCAATTAATTATGTTTTTATAAGAAAATGTTTTAACATATGATATTAAATTTAAACAAATAAATGATTTTTTTGTATTTAAGTCACTTAAAAATTCTCTTTTAGTAATAAGATCGTTCTTTGAGTTTCTTGACTAAATACTTATATATATCAAAGGTTTATGTATTATTTTAAAAAAATTAATAATGAGTAGTTTCCGTAAGATAAAAAAACATCCCAAATCACTCAATTATTGATTTATTTTTGTCAAGAAATCATGAGATTTTATATTACTTTTATATGAATTTTTTAAATAATTCGTATATTTTTTGATCAAGTATTTACATATTTTTCATTCTAGTCATGGTTGACGCCAAATTTATAAATTTAAGAAATAACCATAAAATCATTCAAAAAAAAAATCATTGGTCTACGTTGCTGGATGACTGAGTTTGAGAAGATGCAGTTTCTCCGGTTTCATCTGCAACCGGCGGCGAAGTAGGGGATGAAACAGCCGCAGCCGGTTTTATTGCAGTCGGCATGTACCTCATAAACACCCTATCTTTATTTTTCTGCCTGTTGTTCAATGAACTTCCTTTTGCTGCAAGAAATGTTGGGGTCATTATAAGGTAGTGAGATTATTTGTTGCTTTTCATGTAAATCGAACACGGGCTCGAGTTCGAGTAACATAGTTCTTATTCTTATGACACGACAGGTTTAGTCAAATACCTGAATCCAACTCGTTTGAAGATCTCTACACCATTACTGTGATAACTGTAAGTGATATAGACTCCGGATTCGAATTGCTCTGTAATTTCTTTTCCACCACCACTAACGACTGAAGACTCTGATGATCTTGATGCATCGACATTACCTTCCATAGGTGAAGACTCTGAGCTAGCAGGCAGAGAAGAAGCTTCAGATGTTTCAAGTCGGTTTACGAGGGCCTCGGCTCGAGTTTGCATAGCTTTAAAGGTTTCGCTTTCAGAAACTTCAGGGGACAACTTCTCTTTTATTTCCACCAACTGTTGAACCATTTTGAATTGTATAATCAATGATTTATATAACCAAATGGCAAAATGAAATGTTAAGTGAACTAAATTGTACCTGATCTGTGATGAATTTCACAAGTGCCTGTGCTTCTTTAGACTTGGATGATTCTTTTGCAGCATATGAAGTGGATTGTTGAGTAAATTTTTGTAGTTCCAGAATCTCCCCGTCTTGTGCATCCGATCTGTGCTTCATACTTTTGATCTGAAATCGATCGAAAATATCAAATAGTTATTTTTTATGATCGGCTGAAAATGAACATAATGGAATAGCAAAATGGTATATCATAAGTACTTGATTTTGCAATTTAGACACTTATTGGTTCAACAGCTCATTTGATTTCCTGAGGCTTTCGATAACATTCTTCGAAAAGGGAGTTGTGTAAGGGCACGGAGGGGTTGATATACTCGAGTACAGAGAAGATCTCAAGTTGATGGGGGAAAGATGTGGTGGTGAAGGTGGAGGGGAAGGTTTGAAAACACTCTGAATAGCAGTGAGTAAAGTTGGAAATGCAATATCTTTAAGATGTAAAAGTGATGGAACTTGTGATGGTCGGACGAGAGACGTAGAGTGGAATTTGGCCCCGGGTTTTCCTGACCTGATCTAGCAGTACTTGACCGGTTCCGTTTTGGGATATAGCAAGAGCCTAGAAGGCCTTACGTCGATCCTACATGATCTTTCCCTACCATCTATGGAGGAGTGGGGGCCGACCAATTTTCGACTCACACTTGAAGTATTACCAGCTTCTGCGGCTTTAAGTTTTGCATAGCAAGAATCGCAAACACTGTGCGGTTTTCCCGGTGTCGGAGCCAATGCTTTTTTCAATGCTTTCTTGGAACTACAAGCATGGCAATGCACCATCCCACAGTTATAACAATTGTCTCTTTTTAGTAAAGCCAAATGCTTGCCGGCAGCCGGAGCAAACCAACTGGTCAATACCAGAGATCCATTTATGTATGCATATACTGGAAGTAAAATTCGAGCCACATGGTATATTCTTGACATGCTTATCCCTCAATGCTTCACCCAATGTTGGAGTTTTTCTATCTTCTATGTCACCATGTCCTAATTTGGCACCTCTTCCCCAAGTGAATACTTCGCTTCTCGATGTCAAAACAGCGACATGATACGCCCCACAAGAAATTTCTTCAACAAATTCACCTACCAGTTTTTCTTGCACCAGACATGGTAGCTTTCCATCAGAGCTTGGGTTGCCTAGTTGACCATATGCAGTACCACCCATGGTAAAGACATGCCCTGATGTAGTAAGCGCGACAGTAATGGTATGTCCGCAAGCTAGCTGTTGGAAATTGTAATCGATTAGTGATGAGACACAGGTCGGAAGTAGATAAGTTTCTTACTTCCATGACCTAGCCGGTGTTTGTCGCCATCACCCCAAGTGAACAACTTTCTTGATGATATGTTAGCACCGGTCTGGCACATGACCTCTACAATGGCTGCCGTATGCCATACGCCACAAGCAACTCTAACAGTCTTTAGTCCACTCAGCATTTGAACTTGCTTCGGATATGGAACACTTTCTCGATCTCCATGTCCCAAAACACCGAATTTTCCATCACCAAATGTAAATAGCTTCCCGTCAGAAGTTGCCAAAGCTGAATGCCATGCGCCACATGCAATCGATAAGACTTGTAGACCTTCTATTGTACCCAAAACTCTTTTTGGAATCCAGTGGCTCACGTCCGTTCCATGACCGAGTATTCCGGTATTATGAGTACCATCATCCCAGGTGAATAAATCACCACAAGTGGATACTGCACACGTATGACACTCTCCAGATGCAACAAATTCCACATTAGTTAGCGCCAGGAACTCAACTAACTGGGGACGGCTCAAGTCTTTTTCAGTTCCATGACCGAGCCTCCCACCATGTTCCTCATCCAAAGTGAAAACTTCACCTTGCTTTGTTAAAAGAGCCACGTGCCTTTTTACAGGGACTGCTTGCGGACCCATTCGGCATAAGTCCATCGGACCAAAATGCTCCCCATACATAAAGATCACCTAATGATTCTATATCATCTGGACCTGCAGATCCACTGCTCGAACAGCTAGGTGCGCTTGAAACACTAAGTCGGACACCGTCTCCACCATTAGACTGCATATTGGCCCGTTCTGCCCCCGCATCTGAGCCTCTGAAATCGATAGACGCCTTGCTGGAAGAAATACTACTGGTGAAATCTAGAGCTGGGTAGCCATTCCGAAAGAAATATCCTTCTTGGAGCTGTCATAAAGATGTTGAAGTTAGCAGGTAAAATATCCTTAAGCAATGTGTATGCCGAAAGGTGCACTCACATCGCTTAGATCACTATCGGCTCGTCGATTAAGGCTCTGTCCGATCAATGCCTTGAGTCCCGCTAACCACACTTCTGCCTCAGCTTTATCCTTGCAGATCTATGGATGTAAGCAAATGCATCGTCAAACTGGTAATTGCTGCTGAATATGAATAAATAGCATAATTATCTATGTTACTCTGTACTTGCAGGGTCACATCCGCATGAGTTCTTTATAAAATGAAGAATCGAGACAACATAGATAAATAACCGAAACGAACCAGGTCGAGAGATCTATCACCGTTGTTGTATATAAGTGAAAATGACAAGTATTCCTTTTCTGGCCGCAAATATCTTTTAAAAACAGCCTGTAGAAGTTAGCCATGGAAATCATGATGAAAGGCTAATTAAACTGAAACATTATCAAACATATGAGATTAACCAACAAAATGAAAATCTGAAACCAAACTCACAGTTCGTGTCCGGGAATGATAGACACCAAGCTGGCCGCAAATATCTTTTAAAACAGCCTGTAGAAGTTAGCCATGGAAATCATGATGAAAGGCTAATTAAACTGAAACATTATCAAAACATATGAGATTAACCAACAAAATGAAAATCTGAAACCAAACTCACAGTTCGTTGTCCGGGAATGATACGAGACACCAAGCTTAATTTCAGAGTCTTCTCTTCTCCACGTGATAACCATATCAGTGTTGTTTCATCCTGTTCAGTGAAGCTAAAATTGAAGAACATATGTGCATACTCAAATGGAAAAAGAACATAATGTTATAGTCGTTATTTTATAGTTCCGAGACCGAAATTTAAATCCGATGATCATCAGAAAATGCCAGGTGATGAACATAGGCAATAATCGATTCGGTTTGAGCAAAAGAATACACAGAGCTGTAATAGACTTTGAAGACTAAGAGCACGGGAGACTGAAAGTAACTCACCGGAGAGACTCTACATGCACGAAACTTGGGTTTTGCTTTACGGTTATACTTGATAAGTTGAGTGCCCTTTTTCAAAGCAACAATTGCCTTCCAAACGAAGGGTAAGAAATGGAAAGAGCAAAGACCAACAGTAAATCAAAAT